TGGCCTTGTTGAACTTCATGCTGTTTGCACACTCCCACCTCTCCAGCCTGTCCAGGTTCCCCTGGACGGCATCCCTTCCCTCCAGTGTGTCAACCACACCACACAGCTTGGTGTCGTTGGCAAACTTGCTGAGGGTGCACTCGATCCCACTGTCCATGTCACCGACAAAGGAGCTAAACAGTGCCGGTCCTAGTACCAACCCCTGAGGAACGCCACTCGTCACTGGTCTCCACTTGGACCTTGAGCTTTTGACTGCAACTCTTTGACTGCAACTCAGAGAGTATTAAAATTTCCAACCAATGTAGAGCTTTTAGTGACTTAAGCTCCTTTGCAAAAGGAAACACCTAAAATGAAAACTGCAATCCCTGTTTACAAGATCAAATCTATTGGTCAGTTTGTCAATGGCTGTATGGGAAAGTGACTTCTATTGAAAAATAGTGTAATTGCAGTGATCGTGTTTACTCATATTTTGAAAAGTACAAAGCTGGTAGAACATCTCATTGCAGTGTTGGTTTTTGTGAAATAAATATTCCATAGAAATGTCTTGAACCTTATTTGGTGAGAAGTATATCTGAAGATAGCTGCATTCCTGTAGAACTGCAGGTAGAAGCTACATGTGAAGACATTTGGGCTTAAGTATTATAGCACTATTTACTGAAGACAAATACATGTCATGACCCTTGTAAGTTTACAAGTTAGACTTCAAGTGTAACAAAAAGGTAGCTGGCTCGGGGCATAGCAGGGGAAATGAAGATTTCCTTGTGATCCTTGGCATGTGATCGGTGTTTCCTCTTTTTACTTTGCAGTGTTTTCAGCACCCAACACTAACCCTACAATAAACCATGAGACAGCAACTCTGACTAGCACAGCTCTTGGCCCAGTGAGCACAGTATTAGATACTAGTTCCTTTCTGCTGAAGTTTACCAGTTATATAGTGATGTTAGTGAAGCAGAGTATGACATATGCTTCAGCTGCTACAGTTCAGTTCATCATTTCTTAATGCAGTTTCCTTCTTCCTCGTTTTTGAACAGCTTCATGAAGCTTTTTTTCACAGTTCTGTGTTAAGATATAATATAGGCCAAAGGTAGCAAATGAGAAACCTGCTTCTTAGCTCATTTGGTGTCTAGATGTAAAACATTAAGTTATCCCTCTGCAGTGTAAAACATATCTTTTTAAGTTATCCTTCTGCAATAAGCAGGTATAAATGTAAAGAATCAGTTTTGTTCTTCAGTCTTCATTTAAACCATCTCTTCTAAAAGATGCTGTTGTGCTTAGTTACCGTAATAATGTTTGAGGAAATGTTGTCTGTGCAGTCTTGAGAGGGAGAGTGTTACCTGATGAATCATCTAGTCATATAACTTCTATAGTCATGTAACATCCTGGGTTTCTTGTTGAATGCACTTAAATACCAGACTTGACCGTGTTCATGAACTCATGTCAAGATTGCATATATAGCTAAAGCATTGTTCTCCAATGCATAGTAAAATTTCATAATCAGAGAAACTCCAAGTGTGATCATTACACAGAAGCAAGAAGGGTTTTTATTATTTTTATAAATTAATTGTAGTCGTGGGATTAATGACCTGGAACACTAATATCTGTAGCATTCTTGATCTTTGCAAAGACTGGAAAGGAGAATTAATCTAGAAATAACTGCTTCTAGTCATACAGAAGAAAGGGGAGGAGTTCAGTAGCTGATTCTTGAGATTTATTAACCCCAATAACATTAACAAAAGAAACCCAAAGCAACAACAAAACAGCAATAACATATTTGTTAATTTAAAATCAGTTGACATTTCTTATGCAATGATTTTGCCCATATTTGAAAATTACACTTGTTACATATTGTAAGAGTTCGTATCATAAAGATACTGAAATCACTGTGTCAGCCAGGATAATGGATGGTGCTGTTTTAATGATGATCTTAATGGGTTTTTTTCTTCAGAATGAACAGTGGTTGTGATATATTCTATATACATAGAAAAATGGCTATGAGAATTTCTCATTAAGATCTCAATGAAGGCGAAAAACAATTGTTGCTTATTGTTTGGAAAGATTTTTCAGAAGCAAAAGAACTTACAGAAGTACATATGGTTGTTTATGTTCTAGGAGACAACCATGCTTAATTTTCCCAGAGAATTAATGATGTTAAAGTATTTGCCAATACATTTTAAATGTAGCTGCATTACAGTTTTATGTTACACTAAAGTTACATGTTTGGGTATTTTGTTTCATTTTTTGTAATAATCACTGTTGTGGTGTAATAGCATCTAAAGAAACATGTCCAGTGTCTATCAACTCTCTTGGGAATCCTTTACAACATGCACAGTTTGTTAGAGAGGTCTCTTTATGCATCAGTGAAATCTAGGCGTTGTGTCTAGAAAAGGTTACGTTCTTGCAGCAAAGCACAGCAACACTACCCAGTGATCAAGGCTTGAGTGCAAGTTACTTGGCTTTCACTGAAACTAGAGTCTTGAGGTAGAAAATAATTTCTTGAAGGAAGGTGAGACATCGCGTTAATGTATTTGTTCTTGCAAAATAAAAATGAGTCGGTGCTTAATAAGAGTGTATAACTGATAACATTTCAAAGTAATGAATGATAGATTAAACCTCTACCAGCGTTGCTCTAAACTGTGAAATCCAGCTTCCAGGAAACATTGTCTAACTGAAAAAGCAATGTATAGGCAAAGTATAGATCTCATAAATTACTTTCAGAAGTAAATTCAGAGTTTAAAAATATAGTATTTCAAATAAATAGAAATCATTACATAGAAGGATGATGAGCTTTCAAGAGGAAGGCTTGGAAATGGTGATCTCATTTCACAAAATGAATCCATACTGCATGCATTTTGTTTGTCTACCCTGAATATCTAGTTCTGAGTTCTAGTAGCAATTCATTTTTGCTTCTAGAGCTGACAGAAAGCTCCTTGTAAAATCTACCTTTTAAAGCTGGACAATAAGCAGAAATATCACAGGCTTTTGGAGTACTAGCAGCTGAATGATGCTTTGTGTTATAGGATTGAGACAGATAAATTTTAATGTATTTAATATAAAAAAAGGAAAAAAGAGAAATAGAATTAGAATGTTCCTTTCATTCTGGGTTCCCTCCACTCCTATCCTTACTGAGATTACAGCAGTTCATAGGAGACAATATTGAGAGGAGGGAACCCCTCAAAAAACATAAATTCAAGGACATCACTGTTGAATAAAATGTAAAGTAGAAGGCTGTGGAACATTGGAGGGTTTGCCCTGAAATGGGATGCTGACGTTCTGATTTTTTCCCCCAGTAAAGTTCATGCTTTTAAGTTAATGTACCTAAAAGTTTTACATGTAGACTTTTATTTAACTCTAGTTTTGTTTTGTTTTCAGCTGTGGGATTGGGATCTTGGTGCTTCCACATGACCCTGAAGTATGAAATGCAGGTGAGTGTTGATAAGTAGCCATGAATCATTAATGTGTGTATCTCACTGTATAGTCATAATGCCATTTCTTGACTAGATGAAACTCGTATAATATGAGCTAATCTACCTTAAGTATCATTGTATGTGACTCCTGCTCTCAACAAAAGGGTAGCGCAGGTCTTGTTTCATTAGATATTTTCCACTGATAGATATTCAGGAATATATACTTGCATCTAAAATAAGAGCTATAATCAATTGCTTACATTGGTAGAAAACACTTTATCCTTTGGGAAATGATACTGTCTTTTTACTCGAGTTGTTATTTTAAAATTCCTACAGCTTCGGCTTCATAGCAAGCAGTATAGACTAGAGTTATTGTTATTTATAGTGTCTTTTTTTTCATCTTAATGCTTTCTATTATGTTTTCCATTTATCTAGATGTACCTGTAGCATTAACACTGAAGTCAGTATCTTCTGAGTAGCAATAGTTGAGTCTTCCTCTCTCTCTTATTCTCAAGTAGAAGGCATTCTGTAATAAATTGCTGGGCATGAGGATTTGGTCCTAGTATTTGCCATTTTCTAAAGGGACACAAGGCGTCTTGTCCTGTTGTCCTATTTTAGGTCTGAGAAGATTAAGTAAATTATCTTTGAATCAGAGTGAAGTGGAATTCAGTTCAAAATTTAGAAACTTACATTTAAAAGTGCATGCTGGAAGTCTGCGCTCCCACCATTGTCAGTGGAAATAAGTGAAGTCAGTGGAGTTTAGAGAGCCGGTCAGCTGGGCTGAATCAATCCCCAGATTCCACTGGCAGTCTTAACTTGAATAATATTCATTTATCTTAATATAGGTGTTTAGTGTCATTTTAGACCCTGTGAGTGTTCTGTCTGGCCTCCAGCTGCCATCCCACAAAGGTGCAGGTCTCCTAGACCCCCCCCTGTCACATCTACCACTCTTGGGTGAGTGTCTTGGAGATGATGGAGCATCTCAGATGGTATTGGGCACCTATGCTGTGGCAACTGAAGTGAGTCCTGGATTTCTGCTGATCATAATGGGACCTGAGACACTGTGTATGTGGAGACCAAAAGTTGGGTGTCTTAGACTTAAACTGAATTATAATCTGTAGTGATGTTTGCCTCTATAATGCTCTGGTTTATATCTCTGGCATGTGCAGGAGACTGCCAGCCTCCATGGAGCATATTGTTGCCACCACGTAAGAATATTTGGTGCTTTTCTTGGCATGAAAAAAGTGATTTCTAGATCCATTTCACCACTCCCTCCCAAACTGAGGTGTGATTTACCTATATTCTTTTCAGCGGTGAAACTACCTTGAATTTCCATATTTTCATCTCTCCTCAGCTGCTTGTTCAAATCCTCTTTCCTACACTGATACAGAGGTGAGCAAGGCCACCCTGTAACTCAGATCATTAAAATGATGCTGGCTTAAAGCATTCTTATGTGGGTTTTTTTTGGTGTGTAGAGGCTATTTTAATCCAAGTCCCTTTGATGCTACTTACCATGTACTTCTGGTGTTGCATCAGAACAACTAAGGGGCCTGTGAAATTTGGTAAGTAAAGGGTGAGCAGAAGCCAGTGAGAGGGGAGCAGGAAGTGAGAGGGGAACAGGAATGTCTTGCATCATCTTTCCCACTGGAGTAAAAGGGTTCGTGTGAGGCAGAGAAAGTACACTTATTATTTTGGTGAAATCTGCAAGTGGCCCATAATTATTCTGATTGCTAGCTCACGAATCACCATAGAGGAAACATTTCAACCAGTAAATAATCTTTTCTCATTCATTTTATCTCTTGTTATGATTAAAAGTCAAACTTGATAGCTGTTCAAAGAGATATATTTTTTTTTATTTATTTTGCAATCTTAATACTGTAAATGGTCAATTCAGATTGCTTAATTAAGAGAAACGTGGAAGCTTCTGTTCTTGAAAGCAGTTATTCTGAATACTTCTGAAGCGATCACCTCTCTTTTTCTCTTATTTTTTTTATGGGAATCTGCTTGATTGTATGTTCCTCAAGAATCCAAAATGCTTATTTAACCAGTGAAATCAGCTCCCTGAGTTTCATTCTATCCATGTTTCTTCATTGTTCAGACATGTTCAGACATGCTGTTGACAGGATTTCTGGAAGCATTAATTCCTTTTGTAACAGAAGCCATTGTCTTCTGCGAGCAAATTCTAACTAGGACCTTTTGGGAGGCTCTTTGATGTTACCGTTATGCCCCTGAGAAGCTGCCAGCATGTGAACTTAAGAGTCTAATCAGCTGTCCAATTTTAAAAAATATTGCTATATTGTATTTCTTAGTCTTTTTTTCCCCCCTTTTTCTTTTATGAGGCCTTAAGCGACTCACGCTCTTAAAGTCCTGCATGAATGAATCCTGCAACTAATTCCTATCAGACTTGGTAAAGAATATCGCTGAACTTATAAATAATAACTATTAGTAAAAAGCTGAATTCAGCTATTGCTTCTGTATCTTCCTCCCTAAGGCATCACAGCAAAGATAATGCGATGACAAGGTGCCACCTCACACTCCTGTTAGCTTTATCTGATACTTTCTTTGTGCTCCCTATTGCGGTTCCTGACCCTATAACGCACAGATTCAGGGATTTTAACCTTTTTCTGCAAGGTTAGTTGTGTGTATGGGAACTGGCTTGCAATGAATTGGATGAGCATGACTGCCTCACTGGAGAGAAACGGTGGGAGAGTGCAGGTGAAGAAGCAAGACCTGCCCTTTCAGCAGCATCTAGTCAGTAGATCTGTTTAGCAGTATTGTGAAACATTTTCTGAAGTTTCTATAGCCAAAACCACAAAAAGCTAATATTTTATACACAGGGTAATACATCTCTCTCCTTCTGTAAAGAACTAGATCGCCTTTTTTTTTTTTTCAAATATGAAATTTCAAATCTGAAAGAAAGTTTTTGCTTGTGAAGTGAGAAAAATTTTCCCAAACCAAGCAGAATCCATCGGGCTTTATAAAAGGTTTTGTGTAAGCTGTTATTGCTCTTAATGTGTCTTATTATTCAGAAAAACATGGTTGTGAACTTAAGTACCCTGTACCAGTAGCAGGAAGGTAATTTCTGTACAGACATGGCCATCAACAACTGTCTAGAGTGGTGATGGAAAAAGATCAAAATCTTGTTTGCATCCAGGTCTTGTTTTTCTTAGAAAAGAGTCAAACCTGGTGTAGCAATTCTAAGATGCCTAACTATTAACATTTGCTTAACATATTAGAAATCAGAGGCAGTGGATCTTCGTTGATCTATTTGTATGCTTTAGCAATTCATGATTTTCAGTCCTTTGTAAGAGGAGGTCAGTTTAACTATATATTTATGAGCAGAAGTTTGTTAATGTTCTTTGATGAGAAAAGTTTTAGAAGAAAATGAAGCTATGATTTTTATTTTTTTTCCTTCTAGTGATAAATAAATGACAATTTTGAGCGTACCTGTTTTTGAGAAATCACCTCTCTTGTGATTACTATTTTAATTCCATCTCCATTAAGGTGGCAATTTCCTGGAGAAATAACTGTTTTAGCTGTAACATGCTAGTCTTTTTCAAAAGTATAAAAATTATTTAAGACAATAAAACATTATATGGCAGTTATAATTGGAGGGGAGGGGGGAACCACCACCAAGAACCCCACAACAAATAAACAAAAAAAACGTGTCTCTGAATTAAAACAATGTAAGAAATTTCCAAAATTAGGAAGTAAACATGCAAGCACATCACAAGGTGCTTCCTGATGGGCTAAAGTTCTATTTTATGTTATGGAAAAAAATTATTTCAGTTTCTCTGTGAAGCTTGTACAAAAGTAAGAAAATGCTACTGGCTGTATTAAGCAGGCTATAAATGGGGTGGTCTTATTCAATCTGACTTTACAAAACTAATTCTTATAAATGTTTCAAGAGGCACGAACAGTGAAAATGGCGTGATTCTTTGAAGGCGTGGGCTTTTTATGAAACGTAATATTCAAAAGATTCAGAGTAATAAGCTTATTAATGCAGCAAGCTTTCAGTAGTTGAATAGGACTTGAAGTACATACTGAAGTACAGTCAAGGTAGATATCCAAATGACTTAAAAACTCCTGTTTTCTTAAGACTTAGCCTTAATTAACTCACACAAGCGTGTAGTAAGTAGTTTTCATGTTTTGATGTCTCTGCTTTTTGTAGCTGTTGGATGAACTGCCAATGATATACAGTTGTTGTGTGTTTGTCTACTGCCTGTAAGTATTTGTTAAATGTTTTTTTTCTGAATATTTATGAAATGTAGAATCTGTGAAGCCAAATCTCATGTAGAGTGAGGCTGATACTGAAGCTTCTACTGTTTTCAGCGAGATCTTAGTTTTGCTTGCAGTACAGCATTATGATTTGGCCATTAGAGCACCAGGCTGACTTTAGTCCTTGGTTTTTGCTAATTTAGAGATGTTTTACCATTATTTATTTAGCAGGAAAAAAATACAACACTTCTTAAAGGCTTTGTGTAGTATACAACCAGAGCTCAATGTTACTTGGTATGTAAACAGCAGACATGAAAAAAATCAACTTCAGTAACACCTACAAAATTACCAATATTGTAATTTATTTGAGCTCTATTTCTATGATGTAGTCTGACTCCAAATGCAAATTTCAGATTTCTGGTTAAATCTGCTCTCCACTCATCTGGAAAATTAAAGAAAAAATATTTTATGAAGAGTTGAGTGTATATTTTGTGTAGAGTGTCTTGGAACATGCATGACAGCTTAATGCCATGCCAGGATGTTTTTCTCCCATTTGATTTTGGGACCAATGTAGCATTTGGTGACTGTAAAGATACAGCAAGTTGTTTTTTTTCTTGCAAGGCCTGGATTTAACCTAATTTTTTCTGTTATTTGGAAAATTCAGATGATAAATCAACTTGTTGCAGACAGACAAAAAATTGTCTTTTTGTTTTTGAACATATCAAATATTCAGCCATTGAGAATTGGAATATCTTTGGTGAAGAGTACTGGCTGCTTGCAATGGAGATGGGATTCTATAGGACTAAACTCACATCTCTGGAAATTACCATTAGTTTGTGATTCATACATTAGTATGATTTTTGCAAACTCAGGACCAGAATCATAATGCCTCTGTTAGAGGAAATATTTCCATTGTAGCTCCCGATCTCCTTGAAATTGCCTTTGCATTTATTTTGTCTGATTTGAATGTGATTGGGGAAAAAGATGAGAAGTAGCTATAAAAATCTCTTTGAAAAAATAATCATGCTTATTTTGTGCAATGGTTACTCTATTATTTTCAAAACACTGAAGTCTGTTAATGCACTTATAGCTCTGATGTGTGTGTATGTTTGGTAGTAATTAAAATATTCAGAAGAATGAACTAATGTTTAGTTTAAGAGGCCTTTAATAATCATTTTGGTTTTCTTGAAGGTAGGTCAAATAAACTGGGGAGATGTAACTTGGAGTTATATAGACAACTTCCTTTAGCCTTAATGATTTTGTGCGGCTCAAAGTTCATTTTTCTTGGGTTTTTGGGACCTTTTTTCTGATGGACATATGGTCTGGGATGTTTGTGTGTAATTCCATCACAACTGTGACTGCAGTGTAGTGTAGAGATTGTGAAGCTAATTTTAATTAGTTGTTTTACATACTGGGAGCAATTAGCTGTTTTTACCTTCCATTTCTACCAATACCCAATACCACAAATTTACTGTACTGTGACTGTAATAAAGCCATAAACATTCTGCATTTTAACAGATCTCTAGAGTTCACTGTTTTGTAAGGCAGTCCCTTTCCCACGCTGCCTTTAACTCACAGATGTAATGTTTTTTGGCAGCTGTATTGCATTTTGAACTCATTTCTAATTTGCCATCCATTATTGCCTGTTAAGCACCTTCTGAAAATGTTTCTGCTTCCCAAACTCTTTCCACTGACTGGGTTATTTTTTATATATGCATGAGCTTATTGCAGTTTTTTGCACTAGATTTAACAAAAAAACCAAACCATTTATTGGTAAAAGTGTGAATTTTTATATGAAAATGACACATCTTTATTGGAGGAGCTAAAGGACCTAAAACTCATTTGGATCAATTTTCTCACAAATTTTTTTATAATATACCTTGAAAAATGCATCCTTTATATGGTAAGTGATGAATGTTATTGCTCTCCTTTATGTTCTCTTCCAGGTATGAGTGTTTCAAGTACAAGAACACAGTCAATTATCCACTGCTTTTCTTGTTAATAACATACAGCTTTGTGGTCAGCATAGTAAGTAACTTTTTCTGATATGGCATTTTCACCTGTAGGTTGACAGTTTTCCTGCTGGTGAAGGAACGTTATACAGGCAGTGCTGAATCTCTCTCACTTCCAGTCAAGAAGGACAAATTATTCTTTTGTTGGGAAAATTATGTGCTGGCCAGAGAAACCTGAAACCTTTCTATCTAAACCGCTGTATAGAGTAAATGAAGAAGAAAAACAGTAATCCAGTTACTAGAATAGGAATGTGAGAAAAACAGTCACTGTTGACTTGTTATGAGACCTTGGAAAAACTACATTCCTCATCTTCCCTCACTTTAATTCGTCTACAGTAATGAGAATAATCCTGTTCAACAGACTGCAAAAAGTGAACTGTGGTACACAGTCCAGGATATAGACTGGTGTTTTAAAACAGCGGCCAGAGTTAAAAAAAAATAGAAGAATTTTAACTGTGTCATGGCTAACTTGATTCCCTTTCTCAGTGCAGTGTGTTCCCTTTATGAATAAAATGAGTTTTGTGCTGGCCATCAACCACAGATGGAATCTCCTTCATTATTTTTATTGATAACTCTCTCTTTTAAAAAAGAGGTATTATAGGTCATCTTCTGCCTTCAAAATACTTGCCTGCTCTCTTCTGTGCCTCCTAAAATTTTTTTACGCTTGTGGCATGTTATGCCTGAAGTCTAGTGCCCTTCTCTCTTCAGAAGCAGAAATTAAATGAACTACATTAGCAATGGGAAGAACTGCTAGCTTTTTGTAAAATGAATTGAAATGTTGAAGCATTGTCAAAAACATTAATAATAGCAAATCACAGTAGAGTACATTTTCTTCTTGCAATGCATATCACGAGTGTGTCTGGTAATTTCTGCATCTTAATTGTTTTTGTATGTGTTGCAACTCTATTAAATGAGGAGATTTTAGATGTTAATGTCTCTATTTATGTTTCTTAATTGAAAATAATTCCAGAGTTAAAACGTCAGGTTTTGCCAGAAGAAACTTCAAAGGTTTAATCAACTTTAATGTTGCATGCATAGGCACTCATGTATTGATTCTAACAGAACAAGTCTTGGCAATATTTAGATGAATAATGTTATGATCGTTCTCTGTTGCAAATTATTTCTCTTTTTCTTTTCATCTTTTCAGGTTTACTTAAATTTGAAAGAGCCTGTATTCCATCAGGTAAATCTTGCTCTGTTGGAGGAGCTAATCTTATTTTTTAAACTATGCTGTTTTAGTGGAATGTTTTATAGGATTTTATAGCTGGAAGGAAAGTGGAAGGCAAGCACAATTCGCCTTTTGCTTTTTCTTTAAGCGGTATTGCTGCCTGTCATGTTTTCATCCTCTTACTTAGTGACCTGAAAAACTAGAATGGTTTAGTATGCGTGTTGTGTTTTACCATTTCACCTAATATTTCACATGGTTTTCAACAGTGGCAAGTGTAATGAGGGGAGCCTCGCTATGGGCTAAGGTGTGTGTGAGAGGGAGGGCTTAATGAGTCCTTGTCCACTTCTTTCCATTAGCAGCTGCTGTCAAACTATGACCTCACATCATAATGTGGCTTGGTACTGTGTTCTTCTCTCCACTTTAACATACTAGTTTGGGTTGGTTGTTTGGGTTTTTTTAACTATTCAATTTGACTTTGTGTAAATTCAAGCTGAATTTAAACACAGAATATCTTCTAGGGTTATGTAGCAGACTGGTTGTTATGGTCCTACAGGCTTAATGACAAATTTGGTACAGGTTCCTTTTTTAGTAGCCCAAGAATATTAATATGCATCCACTGCCTGTGGGGTTAGGATTTGTATCACTTGCCTTTTCACAGGAGGTTAGAAATCATGCTCGTTTATGTATGCCATGAGTGGTTTTCCCTCATTTATGATTTTTTGATTAGGAATAACAGCTGAAAAATTGCCAAGCAACAGCACTGAGCTCTTTGCAGGACAGAGCTTTAAAGCCTTAATTTCTGAAATTGGTAATGCCTTCGCTTGTCAAAATGTACCTGCTGCATCAGCAGTTGTAAAAATGATACGTGATTCCTGTTGATGGATTAGTGAAGCACTGATGAATAAAATAAATTCCCAGCTGCTCCAAATAATCTCTCCTAGAAACATGAATTGTTGCTCTACCTATAGATAAAAAGAGAAACTTACAGGGTTTTTTTTTTAATAATGTTAATTAAATCCTCTCTTCCCCCCCCCCCCTTACATTTGCTGCAGGAAGATACTGACTGGGGTGAAAGCAGCAATTTCTAATGCTTTTACTGAGCTGGTTAGAACAGGTTTTGAATGAAGTGACTTAAAGTAATTATGTTAACAACGGTGACAGATTTTACTATTGATATTGGACTTTTATTCCTTTAATCCAGTATCTATTCAACCTACATCACAGCTTCACTGTATTCCAGTTTGATATGCTGGCATAGGTATTGTCCCATGCCACAAATACTAAGGTGATAGGTATTATGACTTGTTGGGAAAGAGGGAAACTTTAAACTGTTGCCCAAGCCCTTTAATTTTTTTGCATCTGGTTTCTCTTAGGTTCAGAATATGAATTCCCTGTTATAATTTGTACATGAGGAATTGATGTACAAAAGATTTAGGCCCATAAAAGTGCTGGACATCTTACAACAACTCTTTCCAAATTGATTTTTATGGAGAACATACAGTTATGGCCAAATTCCAAACATTCAAGTACTGCCCTCATTTTTTCACAATCTTTGCCAAGTATGTTGTAAATACAGAGGAAACATTTCCCTGACTGCACAGCTAAACAAGGTTATTTTCTTAATACTTGTCCTTCATTTTAGAGTGCACCAAAAATAAATAAATTTCCCTATAATTTCAGTATTTTCCAGCTGAGTGGGTCACATGGACTCGAAGTAAAGTTAAAAGTGCTCGTGCAATCACAGTTTAAATCACAGTCTTGGTCCCTAACTATTGGAAAGCAGCATCAGGACATGAAGCAGCATTTGATTCCTCTAGGTATTTGTGATCATCATCATTTGTCAGCCTTGCAAAAAGAGGAATAACTACATGGACAGCTTTATATTGTTCATTGTCTCAGTGTGAGGGGTTTTTTTTTTCCCTGAAAGGAGAGCAATAAGAATGGAAAAGGATCCTATTATATTTAGTAGCTGGGATCCAAGCCTCATTTTTCAGTGAATTACTTTCTACTTTCCTTCCCAACTTAGGCTCATAAATTGCTTACTGCCAGCAGGGTGTGAAGGGGATTTCAGTTTGTTATTCATGGCACAGTGGCAACAGAGACCAACTTCTTTTTCTCCATCCACATATTGCAGATCTTTAAGGGTCTTAGTGCTTTAACCATAGGAGGGATGAGATGCATGTTTTAGTTGGAGGCTACACATCATTAGAAGGAAAAAACCAGCTCCCTGCCTGACAACTGATCTGGTATTTTTTGCTGCCTCATCAATTAAATGAAAGATAGCAGTGGCCTTTGCAAGCATGTATTAGCTTGTTTATGTCAAAATCTCTCAGGGTAGAGCACTATTATTACCTAATTTCCATGGTGCTAAACAAGCCTACATCCCAGTTTCATAGTTGTTTTTAAACCAGCATCATTGTCAAAGAAAACAGCTATGCCTCTCCCCTGTTTCCCATCTGGCACACAAATTTACTTTATGATGTGAATTTGATTGGGGAACTCAACAGGTTAAAACTCCCCTCGGAATTAGTTTTAAATCAGATGATTTGCTCATCCCTGTTTATCACGTGTATATTTGTGCTTATACGAGGATAAGGGGTGGGGGAGGACTGGCTGCTGCTGGGGAGTCATCCGTAGACTGCAAATATAAGACGGCCCTCGTAGCAGAAGAAACTACCTTGGCAGTTAAACTTTTAGACTCAAGTCTTACAAGTAGCCTTCTTTCTAATATGGTATGGTCTGGAAAGCTTTCCCCTACAAAGCATTGTTTTCCATCCTGATTTGTTGACTTGCTACATACCATATGCTAGGTATACACTTGTAGGTATTAAAAACCTCATTCAGCTAGTGGGCTAAGTTATGTGAGTAATGAAATAGATCTAAGAACCTGTTTTATTTGCTTAGCCATCTGCTGCAAAAGTTTGAAGCAAATTTTGAGCAAACAAATAATTAAAAGGTAAATAGAAAAGTAGATTAAGTGATTATTTCTTCTACATTAAGAAATGTGATTTTAAAAATGTCTTTTGTATAGACGTTCCAGAAGTGTTGTTATAGTGGCCCATGAGAAACTAAGCAAGCAGGAGAAGTAGATGAGTATGAGTAATGCAAGTAGGGTAAGGGAGTGACTAGTGGAAATGACTAAAGGAGATGATGAAAGGCAGTCTCACTTTGGACTTTCTCAGGATCAGTAGTGAGACTGTTTTTATTTAATGACCTGTAGCCGGAAAAATGGAGTCGTGTACTGATGATATTTGTGATGATACAAAGGTCAGAGGCATCACTGAGTACAGAGAAGATGGAGATAACTGGGAAACCTCGAGGACTAGGATAACAAATCATTCAGAATGAAAGAGCATGCAGTGATGGGCAAATACCAAGTATTCTTGTTCTGAACTGCACACAGATCACCGAAGGAGGGAGGGGTGGAATGCCTGGATGTGTTTGCTGATCACAGCATAATAATATGACCAGTGAATTTTCTGCAACAGTGATAGAAATAAAATACAAGTATTGGATTTACCAATTAAGGTGACTTTGGGTAAGAGGGAGTGAGTGAGTGTGGGAGAAAAAGGTATTTCATTTGCCTCAATGAAAAAAATAAAATTGTTCTCAGGTGTTTTAAATATACAAATGCAAAGAAGGAAGTGAAATCACCATGAAATATGTATGTAGAAGTACATATGGGAACCTGAAACTGCATGAAGAATATGTTATATCAGGGCCCAGCCTGTTCAAACTTAGAGGACTCCCCATTTTGGGGAACCTGTGTGGACCCACTCGGTGTCCTACAGCTCTGCAGAGTCCTTCCTGCTGCTAAGGCAGCAGTTAGTTGTAGGCTTGTGGCTTAATATATTGTGCTTTTAGCGGAACGTGGTCTTTCTATATGTTCAGGTTGCCAAGCAGTCTGTTAAAAATGACCTTTTCAGGGCATGTCTTCACCACAGCTTTTTCTACTTGGGCGTTGTCCTGCTAATTTAGTGACATTTTGCTCTGTTACACAGCTTGTTCGGAGATGTCTTCCAGAAAGTGAGTACAGCTTTCATTCTGGCTAGTACTTCTACCTCTGCAATAGCTTAGGGAATGTAGAAGGTTGTTCAGACTCTCCAAAGGATCAGCCCTACAAGTCTTTGAAGGGGAAGCTCAGCTTACTGCTGCAGACAGTGATGCGAGGCAGAAGCTCTGGAGAGTGCAGCAGCAACTTGTGTGTCGCTTTTCCGTCACATACGTGCCTCTGAACAGGACCAAACCAAGTGAATCTGAGTTAGTTCTTTAAGGAGCTGTCAAGGCAGCACGTAGCGCTAAACAGCAATAACTATGCTGAGTTACGTGGTGTTTCAGTGTCATCGTGGGGATTGCTCTTCCTTTTTCTCTCTGCTCAGATTGCTTTTTCAGAAATCCAAGAACATGTAGAAGTCAGTTTTCTTTGTTGTAAATTGCAAATACAGTTTCCAACTTAAAGTACTTAGGCTAACTATCTTTTAATATACCAACCAGCTATCAAAAGATAAGCAACAGTTGCTAAGAACCCCAAATCAATGCAGTTCCCAACGTGTACGCTAATATTTGAGGCTGATAAATTGAGTTTATTAACCAAGGATGGGCAGAAGGCCTGGAGCAGAGTAAACAGAGAAGGGGAAATAACAGGCTATTGCTGCTTTCTGTACTAGAAGTGTAGATGAAGAACCAGTTTTGTACGCTCCCTCCCAGCGTGGAGTAGCAACCTTGCATCCGACATGCATAAGAAGTGAATCTATATGATTTGCTTAACTGCCTCCACATCAAAAATGCTGCCAAATACTGGGCCCTGAAATGCTTACTTCCTGTTTGTGAATTAGAAGGGTGTTCTTCATATTTGGCCTTCTTATCAGGTAATCCACTGTGTATTAATAAGACTTTGGGGTTTTCCCCATTGCAAAGACATGGGCTTCAAAGCTGAAATATATGGAGCTTTATTTGCATCTTAGCAGAGGGAACCATCTAGCGATAACAAAAGATGATGAGATTCTGCTGTCTCCTTTTGTTTCAATCGTAGTGCAAGGATGTTATTTGGCTTACAATTCAAAGGTACTGTGAGACAAAACAGCACAAAACTTGCTTGGGTTTTCATCTGTCGCTTAAAAGTGATGTGTTAGTTAAGAAGAGCAAAGGAATTGAAAAAATTGAGTCAACTTGAATAAAGGAGACTTTTTTTTTAGTTATTTTATACTTTATCCTTCTTTAGGTGGATGGATAATACCTAATAAATTTTTGGCATGATGAAATTAGTAAATCCATGGGTGGTAAAGTAGTAAAAGTAAGCACTGCTCCCTGAAGTATAAACTAAGTTGTGTAGCTCAGTGTATGGGCTTCTAGTAAGAAACAGCTGTAGCGAGACGTGCAGCTACAATCTCCACATATCACAGCAACACCTCCTCGGTGCTTGCCTTCAGTGTGAAGAGGAGGATTGGAGCATGCAGAGCAGAACAGTTTGTTGTTCCAGTCTTTCACAGGCTTTTAAACACGAATGTGTTTTACTGCTAACAACCTGTTTGTGTGGGGGAGCAGAAAAGTCAAGAAATTGAAGTGTCAACTGTGGGAATATTTTTCTTCAGTCACTACAAAGTTATTTTTATTTTTTTTCCTTCCTCTCTCCATTAAGATTATCCTCTTCTGCAAGCCATTAAGCAACACGCTAGGAGATACCAAGCCAGAGGCTCTACAAAGAAAGCTTTTCTTAGCTTTTGCTCTTTCCTGCTTTTAGCAGCAGCTGCAGAAAACCAGCAGTTTTAGCTTGTGTTTTACCTGGGCTTTGGGCTGCCTGTAAGTCATGTTTCTCTTGGCATAGTCTGACACTATTTAACTCCTTGTACAAAGAACCCAAGAGCAAAGCGGATAAAAGCGTGAAGGTGGTCACACCCCAAACGAGTATGATAGAAATTTTTCTTCATGGGGAGGTTTTTCCTGTAGCTTTGCTGCAGAAGAGCATTTTAACAATGGAAATTGTAGGAAGGAAGAGATCAGCAAGGAAAGAGCATCAAACTGTGGTTTGGGTTCGAGGAGCCTTTCTATGAGTTGCTTCCACTTGCCATCTCCCTCTCTTAGAATAAATTACTGGATTTGATTAAGAAAACCAAACAGGCTGTTTCAAATGAGACTGATGAAGTAAAATGGCATTTAACTTTTAAATTTAGTCTGTATTTGTTATATGGTGGTGTCTTTTTAGGCAAAAAGTGTCAGTGATGAAGAATTGTACCAGCACGCAGCACACCTGAGCAGTCCCCTTTCTTACCTTTAGCTTGGGACTGATAAGCATTTGATACTCAGTCTATGTTTAGTGTTATGGTTTGGGTTTTTTCCTGATTTATGTGCTGTACCCCAGTGAGGGAACTGGAATTAGCTCACAGTTTTGTATAAAGTACAAGCCAGAACCAATTAGCCTTTCAAATAGTTTTGCTTTGTTTAGCTCTACAGAGCAGAACACACAGTAGTAGTAGTTTAGTTACTGAAGTTATTTGATCTCACTCTGAATGCAAATAAAGAGGTGCTGTGCCAAATGACTTTGCATGGTCAATATTGGAGCTTACTTTTACCTGTTGTCAAACATAAGGGCTCTGTTGTCTGTCTTGTTCTGTATATATGCACTGATAATAACAGTGTGTGCTATGAACCTCATCCTTAAAACTAAAAGGAGTTTGAAAATTTGCCTTTGTGGACTTTCGAAAGGTAGGTTTCACTTTGCGTTATTGCAGCAATCTAGTTTATGTCAGATGACTAGACGCGTGCGTATGCTTGCAGGATAGCGATAGCTCAGTTACAGTTCAGCTGAATTACGGTTACAACAGAGTAAGAGGTGGTCCTTGTCTTGAAGACGATAAAGTCTAAAAGAAGGAAAGGTATGAGGAGGTCAATAAAGACACTGGTTTGTAAACACGCCCCTGTGAGGTTTAGTGGCTTTTAAAAATAGGCAGCAAAGGTTTATCATTTTTCTGTTTCATGTAAAACCAGGCAGCATTACATAGGAGTTAACTAAAAGCAAAATAAGAAATTAAAGTCAGTGAACGAGGAAGCAAAAAATAGCGAGGGGCTTGTGGGCCACTGGAGACAGGCAAAGAGCAAGGCACAACTGCTTGGAATAAACTGCATTTTGGCAGGAGGAAAACGGTGTATAAAATAAAAACTGTGGAGAGTGATTTAATTTCGCCAGTGTCTGAAAATCCTCCCTGCTGCAGTGGCTTCTGCATCACTTCTCAGACATGACTGACCACATTTCTTCTCTTCTTTAGCTTGCACATCTTGGAGATGCTGTTATGTGGATCCTAAGCTTGTGAATAAAAAAAGGGAGAGTGATTTAAAGATCATGAGGCAAAAATAAATGATTACTTTGACTTTTTATATGTCAGGTGATTACATTCAAATTAATCAAGCCTACAGTGAGCCAGATTTCACTTATGGATCTTTTCAGAGCTTGCAGCCTTCGCAGTCTATATTAGATTGAATCCCAACAATCTGTAATGGTTTTAGATGCTTCCTGGAACGTTTTTCCCGTACTGGTGCTCAGCGTGGGCATAGTGCATGGTCTATTCAGGTGTTTGCTTTCAGGAAAAATTATTAATCAAATATCAGTGAAGGAAGTATAGCTTTCAAAAACGTTTTTAGCTGATGCTTACGCAATCCTGGGCTAAAACACACAGATACAGAAAGAGATGGCAGGAGTTAGTTACCGTTTTGATTTCAGGATGCTTACTGAGTGCCATCTAGTGTTTGCTTTCTAATTCAAAAAAGTGAAATAGCGGTTTTACACAACTGACTTTTCCTGTAATTGCATAAAGGGCATGATTTATAATCATACTTTTATTTGAAGCTTCTATGGAAGACTTTCTGGAGAGGAGGTTAGAGAGGATAGTATTTTCCTGAGACTAAGAAATAAAAATCAACAGATGCTGCAAAAATTTTTTTACTCCTCTAGTGTTTTATAAAGTCTCTTGAATCCACCTGCTGAATTTTATCTCTGTTCTTTATTTCCAGATCATGTATGGAACACTAGTTTCCATTATAGTTCTACGATCTGTTTATATAGTATTATGGTAAGTAACCATTTATTTCAGCATTCTAAGATATATCTTAGCATTTGCATCTTTGGTGGGCTTAACATGAGAAATTGGTGATGCAAAATTTCTTTAACTAGGAACGTAATGCTAGCTCATGTGCTCTGCTTGGTTTAAAGGGAACGGCTCATCTCCTTGCATTTTTTTTTGAAGCCACTGGGATAACATTAAACAAAAGAGATGTCTACACTTGTCTTCAGTTCCCTCAGCCGCTCCTCATCACAGTTGTGCTCCAGACCCTTCCCCGCTTCGTTGCCCTTCTCTGGACATGCTCCAGCACCTCAATGTCCTTCTTGGAGTGAGGGGCCCAAAACTGAACGCAGTACTCAAGGTGTGGCCTCACCAGTGCCCAGTACAGGGGGATGGTCACTGCCTTGGTCCTGCTGGCCACACTATTGCTGATCCAAGCCAGGATGCTGTTGGCCTTCTTGGCCACCTGGGCACACTGCTGGCTCATATTCAGCCAGGTGTCAGCCAACACCCCCAGGTCCTTTTCTGATGGGCAGCTCTCCAGCCACTCTGCCCCAAGCCTGTAGCGGTGCCTGGGGTTGGTGTGACCCAAGGGCAGGACCCGGCACTGAGCCTTGTTGAGCCTCACACAGTTGGTCTCAGCCCATCGATGCAGCCTGTCCAGATCCCTCTGTAGACCCTTCCTACCCTCCAGCAGACCAACACTCCCACCCAGCTTGGTGTAATCTGCAAACTTACTGAGGGTGCCCTCGATCCCCTTGTCCAGATCATTGATAAAGATATCAAAGAGAACTGGCCCCAGTACTGAGCCCTGGGGAACACCACTTGTGACCGGCTGCCAACTGGATTTAACTCCATTCACCACAATTCTTCGGGCCTGGCCATCCAGCCAGTTCTTTACCCAGCAGAGTAATGTGAAATCTATTGCCACTGTCCATATTCTAATGATGATACTTGGAGAGAGGCGAGAATAAGACTGTGGAGCTGAACCATCAGTTAATGTTTTCCTTTCCTCTTCCTTACTCAAGTATCTAAAATTCAAATGTAAAAGATAATAACACAAGTTTAAATTATAGTTTTCCTTACAGTTTTGACTGGGTAAACTTAGGTATATATTATGGAAATGTATATATATTGAAATAAAAACTGTTTCTAGCAAACAAAAAGGTGTTAGAAATGTTAGGAGATATGAGAACCATTAGAATCATCAGAGCAGAGACTTGGTGGTAAAAGTGAAGAAGAAGGAATTGAATCAGTAAGGGACTAAACACATTCCTTTACCTCTCAGGGATTCAGTTCGTTGCCCCTTCCTGTCTATCCACTGTCAATAATTGGTGTTCTCGTGTGTTTGGGGATTGCCCTTAAAAATTGCTGATTTCTCTCTACTGTTTTCATTCGAAATGTGCTTTTTGTTAAACTTTGTTTCAAGTTACACATGCATCTGCTCAGGAACACAAGGAAGAATTTAACAAAAGATGTGAATTTCAAGTAGATTCATTGAATTACCTTCCAACTGCAATTTCAGTTAAGTTGGTTCGACTTTCCCCAAGATATCCCCACAGACCAATTATTAATGTTCCCAGACTTTTACTAAGCAAGAAGAACTGATAGTGTGTTCCTTTAGAAACAATCATCAGTTTAAAGTCACTTTTCAAATCCATGAACATGGAAATTTTAATCCTAACCTAGAGATCTTAAGTGATACTACCTTAATTCACTTCCAAGGGAAACTAAGTTGAATCAAGTTCAGGTTATTTTAGTTTTGTTCTTATACAAGGATTTAGCACAGTTCTAGTCACTTAGATTAAATTTATTTTTGTCTGTGTAGACAGGCCCTTGAGGCTGCTATCTTTCCAGTTCTGCAAATTCCACACACTTGTACATTTTCATAATTTCCGAAGCATTTTGTTGTCTTCTATCCCTATCAGTAACACCACTATCCTTCCTCCCAGGGTATTATTCATTGTTTTCCTCCAGCACACTCTGTCTCTGAAGTTCCACCTACTTTTTCACTTCGATTTTAGGGGTTTGGAGTGTATTTTCTTAATTAGCTAGATTGCTTCATTGTGACACGGCCCTACAAAGGTTTGCTTCCCCCTTTGGTTAGAAAGTTGGGATGGGGAGGGAAATAGGTTTAAACTATATCTAAATTTTAACTAAACTACTACTAATTTTAAACTAGTTCTGCTAGAGAAACTGTGCCAACCTGACGGTATCCTTTCTCTTCTCTAAAAGTCATCCCCAAGTACACTATTGGATTTACTACTTCTGCATTGCTAAAACATATTCCTGTCATTCCATTGATAGTGCTAGCGCTTGTCCAAGCCTGTTTCAACTTATGTATCGACCCCAATTTCTGCTTATTTGTTTCTTACTTTCTTAAGATGTATTAGCTTCCCATCACTCATATTTCTTAGTGCGGGGCTCAAAGTCACTCTGAGCTTAGGATAGAAATCTCAAAGAACAGCATGTCATTCCTTCCAGGCTGCTACCTCCTCCTGTCATCGTCATTTGTTGTTCTTCCCTGTTTCCCCCATACTTGCCATCTATTTCTTGGGTCTGCTTCCTTCCCAAGATTACGACTTGGCAAATGTTGTTGTCTGTTCACAAAGCACGCTCCCCATTAATAAGTGATGCCAGCCTCTCTCTCATTCCTTCACAAAATAACACCATTTATTCCCTGAACAATTCTAGCTATAATTACCTAATTACCAGCATATATAACATACCATTTAGTGCTATTTCAGATCCTGGGCTTGCTTATGTTTCTAGAGCACTGAGTCAGGAATATTACAGTGTAGTCTCTCCCAGGTACCGCATGGTGCTCCGTGCATTTATTAGACTAAAAAAATAATAATTTTGCTAGTTTATATTGGCATTACACTTCTTGTGAGCATGTACAACTTGTATCTGGTTAGCTTACCCTGTGGAAGAAGCTCTACCTGTTGTGTTTTGCACATTTTGGTTGCCAAGTGCTCACAGCTCTGAAACATGCGCTATGTGTAACACAGTGCAAAAGTAGCTCAGGAATGTGTTTTATCCCAGAATCTAAACTGCGCATTCATAATGCTTAAAAATAACTTGAACAGTATTTCGTGGCATCCTTTTAGGGTTGGAATTGGATTTGCTTTTGGATTTGTTGTCTTAGTGGGGAAGGAGTAAATGCTACCAACTTCCATGTAGGAAGTTTACAATTCCATGGTCCAACCTGAATGCAGACAGTGAGGGTAGATTTATTAATGATGCACTTTATTGCATCTGATTCTTCAGTGTGTTTCCCATATCCTAAAGAAGAAGAATTATTTTTTCCTCCCAAAATGAAATTAACATTTTTCCATCCTCAATAGCAGTCAACGATAAACTACAACGTGAAATGACTGTTTTTCATTTGGTTATTTGTTGATCGTGGTGGTCTACATTCCCAAAAGACTCCAGTCATTTTGAAAGACCTTATTTAAACAAGTCCCCTAGTATAGGGTTCTCATGTCTTGGGAAAGAGCCTCTCCTTTTGGGAGAGTCCTAATTTGTAACATGGGTGGTTTTTAACTGAAAGATTATACGTGAGACTGAAGAATTAGTACCTTTTAGCCAACTTCAGTTTTCCCACTTACTTGTTGTGTTAGGAGAGGGCAATATTTAGGGGTACAATTAGCAATAGAAGCAAAACATTTAAAAAACCAGGCTTGGAGAATGTGAATTCAGGAGAGGGGAATAGGTAAAATACAGTACTTAAATAGATGAGATTTGAAGTTGATTTTTTTCCTTTTGAAAAAAAAAAAAATATTAAGCAGTTTATTCCTATGTAATAGTGTTTATGTATGTTACAAGCTGCCTTTAAAGCATCTCGATCTAAACTTTGCATTATTTCTCTTTCTCTCTAGGGTATACCCATGGCTTAGAGGTCTAGGCTATACATCTTTAACTGTATTTTTAATGGGATTTTTTCTCTGGAATGTGGACAACATTTTCTGTGACAAATTGAGGTGAGTTCTTTTACTTTGGATAGCTCTTAATAGTCTTTTAGCTTAAAGCTTTGTTTTTTCTGTGATATATATTCAAGTCCATCTCATGGCATGTATGGTGTGCTGCCTACAAAACATTCACAAGGGTTTTGTCCACCTTGCTCATGACTGGAATCAGTAGTCAACAGTTTTATCCATGAATAGATTTATTTTTTTAAATAATTGCAATTTCTCTTTAACTTCAATTTAAATTGAGAGAAAGTAATGTCAGTTGAAGTAATTTTGAGGATCTGTGGCTTACTAAAGCCTGCTATTCACACTTGATTTCATCTGAATGAGTTTTTTATCCTGCTTTTTTTGGTTTGTTTCTGCTCTTGCCATTTCTCAGGAAAATATCAAAAGCAGTAGTTCTGCAGGTTAAAGAAATATCTATTGCAATGCATCTGTCACCAATAAACAGCAGCTGTTTGAATGTCTCAGAGAGAACAGTAACTCTGTGAGCCAATACATTGTGCTTGGCTGTCATTATTACCCTGAAGTCTTCTGGCTTAGCACTGGTAGAAGACGCCAGGAAAGGCTTCCTCTGTTTAGTGTATTGCCAAATGGGGTAAAAAAAGCCTCCAGACAAAGCTTGTAGGAGCCCAGCATCTCGTCATATGGCTAGATATCCTGCCTGTGCGAGAAAGAACACTGGTCCAGCAGGTTGTTCTCTGAATCTGTGTTCTTCTGGAACAGGACAACTGCATCGCAGCACCTTTGTTTTGCTTAGTTGTGATGCTTGTGTTCCACCACAAGCTGAAGGAGATGGAAAGGTTGATGCCAGCATCCAGAAAATCCATTCTTGACTCTCTGATACACAGTTATGCCGCTGAATCTGCGGTGTACAGAATTGTCCTAGTAGGTTGCTTTGTCAGGGTCAGATCATAGCGTGCTGTAAAGAAGTCTAGTGCTTTCCATCTGTCCCTTTTGGCTCTGTAATCCCTGCAGTAGGTTAGGCCAATTGGAAGTTAACTCCAACAGAATTGCCTTGAAACTTTTTTAAAAAATATGGGTGTACTGAATATAATACATGGTGCTTCATCCCTTGAAATGCTTGATACAGATGGCATAGAACAGTTATTTGCCAACACAAGTGGGTGGGTATACAGTGACTTTGTAAATATTGGCAGCAGGGTTGATTTTTGCAGCTGCATCATATCACTGGTGAGATCATAACCCCCAATTCACTAAGCCTACTGAACTGCTGCAGGTCCGTGGGGCTTTTGAGCTTGATCCTAGACTCAAAGTTTACAGCAGCTGCTGAAGCACTTTTTTCCATCCTCACTTTGCAAAGGGAAAAAAAAAAAGTTAGCATATTTCCTGTAATACTTGTTTGGTTATGGTGCTGGAAAAAAAAATAAATACTCTTGTTTACTAGCTTTAATCAGATGTCTGCAGAGCCTTGAATTTCTCCAGGTGGTATTATAACTCTAACTTTTGTAGAAAATGTATTCCAGTTCCTTGTAATTTTTTATTCTCTAAAGATCTAAGTTGTGAATCATCCACCTACCTGGCCTTTTTTGTTTTAATGTTCAAAATTGTGTAATTATGTTTTGGTTTAGTTTTTGTTTTTCCATATTTCATTAAATCTGGAGCTTACTTAAAAGAAAAACAACAACAAAAAACCATCTGTAGCACTCGGCTTCCCTGGTTCCATGCACTTTTGAATTTGAGCTTTGAGATTTCCTGCCATCCAGAGGCTCAGAGGCTGTGCCAGGGTGACAGTCTGTGTGTTCCACTATGTCATTGCGGGGCTGACTGAATCGAAGCTCTGTGTTCATGTTCGTGATTGAGCAGCTCTGGAAACTAAGCAGTAGCTCAGGGATTAGTGTTTAGTCAGGGCTACTGAACTCTATAACATCAAGCAGTAAATAAGTATTACAGAAACTGCAGATTTTCTTCCTTAACACCTGTGATCATTGTTTTCCCTTTTTTGTTTTGACTGAATGTGAAATGAAAGTCAAAAAAGATGACAGGGAGATGCAAACATTTGTTCCACCATCAACCAGATAGGTGTTATCTGCAGAAGCCTAGTGAGCAGG